CGACCTCGTAACCATTTTGTGCTTGTTATAGTTTTTCATGCTATAACTTTCAAATTTGTAAGGGAATGCTAACGAAATTTAGCAGTTTATCAGTAAACATTACAATGCTTTCGTATGCAAAATATCTAATTTTGTTATTAAGTTTTAAGGTTTTTAAAGCAGTGTTTCTCTTATGCCTTTTTTTTTTCTCTTGACATCTTGCCTATCTATCATGCAAAGTAATTTTCATCTTAACTTTACAAATATTTTTATGCATCAGAAAGTTTTGAAATTTCACATGCAAAATCTTTATAATGCCCAAATAGTTATCAAATGTTTCTTAAGAAAAAACTATATATTTTATCTGTTATTTTCACTAACAAATTGCTGTACAGGTTTGGTAAATTTGATGGATCTTGCAAACACCATAAAAAATTAGGAAATAAACATAAATTATGCATCTTTCATTCAAGAATGAACACAATTTATAACACGAAAACATAAATGTTCAGACAAAGTAGCTTAAATCTCATAACATTATACATTTATATATATTTATTATTTTTATTATACTGACCTTTCACCCATTCCTGGCTAACAATACAGAAGTTACAACAATGTGGCTCACGTGCACTCATGTTACATATCAGATAACATAAATGTGACCTTTGGTCTGTACAAGGTAACTTGTCTTAGCTGTGTTTTAGTCAACTAGTATTTTGTAAAATACAGTCACATTTTAATCATTATACATTATATATGTATATAGATTATTGCTATTTTGAAATAAGTTCTTAAAGTTATTTTTCCTAAAACATAGAACAGTAAATAAAGAAGTAAAGCAAACAGTTATCTCTTCTAGTTACGACCTTTGTACTCGGTTGCTGCTTGATGTAGATAGCTAAGCCTTTAAAAATTTTGCAAGTGGAGGATATGAAACAAAATATTATTTGTTAGGTTTTATATATACATTTGAATAACTAAAAAAATCATAAATTACTACATCAATACCATATATTTCAACTATAATTTATCAAGCTTAGTAAGTAAGTTGTATTTTACTCTAAAAAAATATGAAATTTCGAGCAGACTAAAGACACAACCTACCTCAACGAAATCTTGATTTAAAAGAAAGAAATTATGCTAGGTACATTAGAAAGGCTTAAAAAACCACTAGGGGGACATTCTGAGCTTCTAATTGGCTATTCATGTCATATATAGACGTAAGTGTTTATAAGGGAGCATTTCTAAAAATGCAAGGAGGTGAGCAGGGTGCCACTATGTTTGATTTATTATGTGAGCAATATCTTAGCAAACAGAAAAGATAAGAGCTTCTTATTTTATATTCTAGCTTGTCAGTATTGTAATTTAAGTTTCTAATTCGTATGAAACTATAGACTTAATATTTTGACTTTACAAACATCTAATTTGAACCAGTGCTGCATTCAACATACCATGTGACACACTAAAATTGATGTTTATCTGTTTTTTTTTCATATTTACTAATGTAATGTATAGTTCTAAAATTTGAATTATAATCTACAGTTGGATACCAAACTTATTGACATAAATTTATGAAACAAACGAGATGACATGGCCTTTCACCTGTGATCCGTGTGCATTTTAGGTGCTGTTTGGATTGAAAATTACAATACCAAATGTGTTGATAAGTTTGAGAATGTAAATAAATTATAAACATTTATTTTAGTGTTGTCTTAACAGACTTAGAAATATCAGAGTATTCAAAGTACTGTGTTTACAAGTTTGGAAAATTTAAATGTTGTATTGATAGATCATAGAAATGTCGGGGTGCTACAAATGTTGAGCTAATAAGTTTGAAAATGTGAATATTATTATAAACATTGATTTCAAGAAGTTACCTCACCTATTTGCACAGAATAGCTTGATCCCTCGAGCCTGTGCCTATGAGAGCTGCATACCACAATCCCAAAAAGCACATGTTTAACAGGAACTGCACTAGTGCATGATGACAATCATGCGACAATAGTGCAGTATCTACCCCTAACCACTAGCACTCGAAATAATTTCATTTCCTCAACATTGTCTAGCACAGATGTATTTTATAATTATTAATCAATTACATGAGATTTTCGACAGTTTATGAAAATTAAAGTTTTGTTGAAGTTTAACTGGTTTCTTTCATTTTTACTAAGAACATTTGCTTGCTTTCCTGCTTTTATGAATTCTCAAATGACAGTAATTTTTGCTTTATCATATGATAGTGAAAATGTTCCAAACAAGGTCCTGTGTCTATTGTGGCTACTGGGCTCATTGTCAATGGGGGACATGACAGCCATTGTTCGACATATTGTGGGTTCATAATGGCTGGAGACGGCTTAAATGGGTAATGAAGAAAAAACTTTAATACAAGTTTAACATGACAGCAAATGTACAACGTTTCGACAAGGTTTTGTCATCATGTCGAAACGTTGTACATTTGCTGTCATGTTAAACTTGTATTAAAGTTTTTTTTTCATTACCCATTTAAGCCGTCTCCAGCCATTATTAGTCTCAAAGTGGGTTCCTCGTCATCGAATATGACATATCTGTGTTGATAGAAACATTACTGTGACTTTGGTTATTTACAGGTGTATTGTTATTATATATTGTTATTATTTACATCCATGATTTTAATAACCTTGTTGGAATTGTT